TTCGGACAGGCCACAGAGAGGCCGCAACAGGCCTGCCAGCTGCCGAGAGAGGAGGCAGGCCTTGGACAGGCCACAGAGAGGCCGCAGCAGGCCTGCCAGCTGGCGAGGCCTCGGACAGGCCTTTGGAAGTGCTTGGAAGGGTTCTGCTAGGCTTGGCCAACTGCTTCACCCTGCGGTGTCCCAGGCGCCTCCCCGCCTAGGCTTTGGCTATAGGCCGGGGTCGGCGGATATCTCACCGATTAAGCTGCTTTAAAGTCTTCCTGACAGCCATTCGGAACTGTTGTCCCTGAATCAACTTCATGTCCCCAGGCAGCTGCACGTGGAATGTTTGCGAGAAAGCGAGTTGGGCGAATATGGAAATGTGCCAGGCAGCGGTACAAAATACAACGTGACAGAAAAGGTTGTCACGGTTTTCTCCCACCGGAATTTTGCCCTTGTTGAGTTTGTTGCTAGGATTGCCCAGAAGCTGGCGCGTGGATATCTTGTCCGGCAAAAGCTCCGAAAGCAGACACAGGCAAGCCTGCAGTGTTTTGCTGCTTTGCTTTGTCTCATTTCTTTGCTGATCCTTCCTGCAAAATTAGATATTTCAGGGTACATTGGATTGAAATCCGGCGGTTTACTTTCTGCATACATGACACAATGACTTTCTTGAGGAGGTCATGCGATTTCCAGTTTGATGCTACGTTGTTTCAGTTCAATTTCGTTTGACACATCCTCAAAATCACACACAATTCAGGCCTCAGTGGCACCAAACACAGGATCTTATATAAAGCCATGTCAGCCAAGAGCACAGTATAACCTAAGCCCAAACCAACATATGTTTCGATTTTGGAGTTAAGAGCAGTGCAACAAACTACAACAAACAAAATGTGTTTGCAGCTCAGGCTGTGGTGCGATGTCAGGCTTTGGTGCGAGGACATTTGTCGCGCACACACAGGAGGAGATGTTGCTGTGACATTTGCAAGGAAACAAATTGAACACACTTTTAACATGTTCAGCATTGAGCGATGATGCCCTCTTGAGCTATGTTGCCCTTCGGTGAGGAGACAAGTTGCGGCAGCTCTAAAAATCCAGGCAAGGGTGATTCCAAATATCTCACCGATTAAGCTGCTTTAAAGTCTTCCTGACAGCCAATTGGAACTGTTGTCCCTGAATCAACTTCACGTCCCCAGGCAGCTGCACGTGGAATGTTTGCGAGAAAGCGAGTTGGGCGAATATGGAAATGTGCCAGGCAGCGGTACAAAATACAAAGTGACAGAAAAGGTTGTCACGGTTTTCTCCCACCGGAATTTTGCCCTTGTTGAGTTTGTTGCTAGGATTGCCCAGAAGCTGGTGCGTGGATATCTTGTCCGGCAAAAGCTCCGAAAGCAGAAAGAGGCTGAGGCAAGCATGGATGGGCCAGTCTGCAAAATACACTTCGGTACCTATAAAAGTGCATCCCCTACCTGGATCAAGTAGTCCTCGGAAATGGCAAATAGCCGAAGGGCTGAGGCATTGCGGCAAGCTGTTCCAAAACTCATACAGCGAACGTGCTTGGTGTCGAGGGATTCCGGCAGACCTCCTGTGCTTGGAGCAACCACAATGGTGCGTTCCAAACTTCTCCCTGTGTGGAACTTGTTTGTTCGGTTACTGAACACATACACTGCCCCCCGCTTCGCCAGAATCTGATGTGGCCTGCCCATCTTGGTGAGGTCACCCTGTGTGAGTGAACCGCAAGGGTAGCTGGCTGGCGGTGTGTAGAACCAATATGCACGGACACCATTGGTGATAAACAATAATACAGGTTCCCCGGAGCCTCTCCCAGCCTCTCCGAGCTTCTATTTTTATCAATAAGCATAGACCTGCTTCTCGTTTCATTCCTGGTTACTCGTAGCTGACGATTCTTTCCACCTTTGGTTGCTTCTTTCGGCGTGAAGATCAGCTTGCCGAGGCGCTCGAGAAAGCCGCGGATGTGTCGATAAGATGCCAAGCAACGGAGGCGCGGCGCGTGGCTCGGTCGGGCGATCGGTGAAGAGCTCGCCGCACGTAGCTCGGTGAGAGCCTAAGAGCTCAGGCAATCGATGCCAGAGATGTCGCGATCACGAAGCCAAAAGAGGACGAGGTTCGGCTGGTAGCAAGCTGCACTTGAAACGCTTGTCAAAGGGGTTGAGGACTAACTCCATCATTTATCACTCCAGCAGCGTTGACAGTTTCAGGAATTAGTTGCCACGGATGGCTGGGAACCCGAGTGATGGTGGCTCGACAACACGGGAGGGACAAAAAAGGCCCTTGCCTGCTGAGGTCCAATCTCTCGGGGTCAGAACCTGGATGTTCCGGTCTCCCCGTCTGAACGTCATTGTGCCGGAGCCTCGTGGGCTGAAAACGTCTCGGAAGATTCTGGTCATTGCACAGAGGGGTGCATGTGATGGACCGAGCAAAACCAGCGGTTTTCAGGGGTGAAAACGAGGGTTCTTCAGCACCAGAAACTCCCTCGTCATGGGCGAGCGAAGTTGGATGGAACGAGGCAACTCCCTCATCCGTTGCAACGATCGATGCATTCGAGGCAAGACAGTGCCATGATGGATGCACCTTGATGTTTGTAAAGCTGAACGCCGTTGTTGAACTTATTCTACTCGAATCTGATTGCAGACAGTGCCATGCACAAGTTTGTCAAGCTGCAAGGTCGATATTGCTACCGATGGCGTAGGGGCAGAGGGCTCAGACTGCTCAGAATCTCAGGTACAGTCTAGAGTGAGTCTAGAGGACGCAGGCTTTGCTTTTGCTTTCAGCAAAGTATATACTGCGTTGCTTTTTGCAACTTTCACAGTCGAAATACCACCGAGGTTGAATTGGTCTCTGGCATCATCGACAGCTCTGAATCTAGGACATGCTTGTAAGCTCGCCCAAACATGTCATAGACTCTGTTCATTCTTCAGATTTTGGCCAGAACTCGTCTTTTTCTGGCGGTACTTCGATCATTGGCAGAATCCAGAGCATCTATCTGAATCTATCTATATAGGTCAGGTACAACTCACCAGGGGCTATGCTTGTGCTTTGTATCGATGTGGGGTCAATCGAACTATGGTGTTTCCCTCCTTGATTGAGTTTCCTCAGCCCCCAGCCAGGAGCAATGACGAGACGGTGACAAAGCCAATAGAGGCAAGGGGAAGCAGAAGAGTGCAATATTGGGCATTTCACTCTTGTTCCACGTGGATATTTACTGGGTAGCGTGCACCCACGCTCTTCAAATTCCTTTGGGCAATTTTGCTTGCTTCAGGACCTTGTTGCCATCGATGGTTGGCAGCTCACAACGCTTGTGACGCGTGGCTTGCCGGCTGGGCGCTTGGCTTTGCCGAGGTCCGGGACAGAGTCTTGACGATCCAACCTCCCCGACAAGCGCCAGGTGCCCAGGAGATCCCAGAAAATCCGCTTGACATTGATTTTCCCAATGCTTTTGCATGCTTTTGGATCGATATTGATGAAAAGGGTTTCAGTTGTGCCGGAGTGTGAGAGCGGGATTCTTGCAGAGATTTGTAAAGTAAGAACTAGGATGAACAGATACGGCAGGCAGACAGAACATTTTTCTTTTTAAATTGCTCATGTTGCTCATTCCGATTTGCAATGTTTAGGTCACTCCTTCGGGTGATGCAACCATCAACGAGCCTCAGGACCCTCAGGAGGCATGCGACGTCTCAGAGCAGTTGCATTAACAATAGTCAGTCAGGGGACCATTCATTTTGATCTCTTAGCACACTTTTGCACACTTAGCACACTTTTCTATCATGTCTGGGAAGATTTGTACTCACTTTGCTTCCTTCAGGTTCCGGGCCCAGGTGATAGCATAGGGGCACGGAGCCTCAGAATTGCGAAGATGCTGTCCATCCAACGTAGAAGATGTGCTCCGCTCTTCCGATCGAAAGTTCGGAGCTGTCTGAGAGCTCGTCGACACTTGATGCCGGTCAGAGGAGCCTTCCCAGCAACTATCGAACAATGCAATTTCAATTATACAGGTTGACACCCTGGAAGCTCGAAAGGAAAGCTCCAGGGTGACAAGGAAGAAGGAAGGAAGGGTTTCACTGAAGCTTGGTAACATTGCTAAGTTTCCGTTTCCCTAAACATCTAGGAACCAAATGAATAGAAACGTGAGCTATCCTGTGTCCAAACTAGTAGCTTAATAAGGTACAGAGCGAGCAGGGAAAAAAGTCAATCTGAGGGTTCCAGTTGGCTCGAGTCCACGTTTGAAGACCCTCTTGGGACGGGCATTGAGGTGGTTGATGCCACAGAGACGAAGGATGTACAGGCCTGGAGCAACGGAAGTCAGGTTGAACACCCCACACAGCAGGTCATCAAAACGTACCACCACCACCACCACCTCCACCGCCACGTCCAGCACTAGCACCCACTTCTACTCCTACTTCGACTCCTACTACTCCCTCTACTGCTACTAGTGCTGAACCTACTCCTCCTACCACCCCATACCCATACCACTACGACTGCTGCTGCTACTACCGATTGAACCTATTGGACGCTGTGACCGCGGGCCCTGGTGGTTTCTAGTTGATAGTGCAAGCACTTCAGAAGAGGTGGTGAGGGCCTGTTTCTGGATATTGATGGACATTGGGCAATTATATACTGTAAGAGGTTAATAGGGGTTCGAGGATTACTGATGTGCTGCCTATGGGCACTTGGCAAGCCGGTATTTTCCGCTATGAATGACAAGTTGTGTCCCTCGCTTGTTCCTGTTTGCGCCCTGTTGGCACTTGGACGCTGGGTCGCGCTTGCGCCTGCCTAGGCAGACTCTTCACGAGGCAGCAATAGGGCGGCAAAAGGGTGAGAGGAGCCTGATCAGAATATAATGTTCCAGGAATACATGTCGCTTGAATCTAGTTTTCAAGTTATTTTCTGTTTTTTTAGTGTTCTTCCTGCTCGACAATCTATATAAGCTTTTGTTTCGGTTCAGATATGGTGTAGCAATTGTTTTGTCTTCCAAACCTGGTAGGAATTCAATTTTAGGGGTGTGCGCGTTTGATGGTCAGGCATGGAGGAAGTCGCAACTTCAGTGCAGGCATGTAGATGCGGTGAATATTCATGACGCCCCTTGGTGCGAAACGACTGTTGCGTCGAAGAGACTGGACCGCTTGGGCTTGGACCGAGAGTTTGCTAGCTCCTTCGTCGTGACGTGCGCGTTTCTGTTTTTTCTTGCTCGCCAGGCTGGTGATGAATCCATTGCGCAGATCCAACAGGAGCTTCCATGATAAGTCATGTCAATGTATATGGTGAAATCCAGCATAAATAGTCCAGATTGGGCTGTGTAGTCAGTGTAGTGGAAGTTCCTGTCGCCTCTCATCTCAACTGACTCCATCAAAAGAACCTCCGTGACTGTTTTGTGACCATGACCTTTGGAGGTTTTCAAAGTCTAACACATCCAGAACTGACATCTGAGCGTCACAGTAACAAGAGCCCGAAACGCATCTTCTTCCTGCAGGCTCTTCAGAATGATGTGAAGAGATTGGAGGATGAGGCAGTTGGAATCAATATCCAAATTAGAGGGACAGGTATTTTGCACGTGTGTCCGTGGGATTGATTCTGTTTGGATGCAAGTACTGTAACCCCCCCAACCAGTTGCCTTTGCTGTTGTCGCTTGCTTTCTTAGTATGTAGTGTTTGTGAAGACACAAGAGGTTTCTCAAAGCGCCTCACAAGTCAGCTGCATACTTGCCTCCATGTATATAAAGCAGAGCATAGGCATAGGAACCCCGGCACAGGAAAGATGATAATTATATAACATGGATCAATGATCAGTGTACCCAAGATAGAAGTGAGCCACCCTAAAGCAAGACATACTCCTCTAAGGTCCTCCAAGTCAAGTACACGCAGCTAAACTGTTGGTACCCCAAGTAAGCTACAGTCCAGAACCATAGGCTCTCTGACTGGGAAAGCATCCCAGTCGCTCCTGTTCGGAGTTCAACCCACGTCGATAGACATCGCTCACCGGTGAGGAGAGTGAGATCAAGGCGTCCGTGGCTGACTTGCGCAGGGGTCACCCAGAGGATCAAACGATCGACCTCCAGAGATGTCGACCGAGACGGACGAGAAGTCGTGTGGGGACTTCGTCTTGGGATGTCTTGAAGGTGCCAGGTGGGACGGTTTTGGACCATTCTGTACCTTTTTGATCCTGTGTTTGTATTCAAATGGATGACGCTTAGACCCAGCGAACTTGGAGCCCAAACTGCAATACAGGATATGATGACCTATGGACCTATTAGCTGTAGGTCTTGTTCACGTGTCCTGCCAGGCTCTTCAGTTTCGGCGGAGGCTTCGGCGAGACAGGTGGCCTGTGAGCAGTTGCAGAAGGAAGCTCGCGTGCGGGTTGCAGACACGGGTGTGTAGTAGGGGTAGTAGGAATCAGCCCCCAAACGCAGAATACAGAGACAGACAGACAGGCAGGCAGGCAGACAGACAGACAGACAGACAGACGGACCCCCCGATGCCCTGCTTGGACCCCTAGACGGCAAATTGGACCCTACTGTACACCTACAAAGACTTCAAGACTTCAAGATCATCTCGAGGGAGTCAACATGGTGAGTAGTAACAAGAAGCTACTAGGTGGAGGCCATTGCTATTAGGTTGGAGGCCATTACTACTAGTAAAAAGAAGCTATTAGTAGCAATCGGTGAACAATTAGTGTGTCTTGATGAAGGTGAAAGCCATTCCTCCACCGATGATCATTGTGAGTGATACCGTGATACCTGATATTTGCAGGAACTGAAGGAAGATGTGCTCCTGAAGGCGGAGCTCGCACAGCAGGTGGGGACAAGAGTTTCTCCAGTCCAACAAGGAGTGGATGTTTTCTTTTATTTTTTAAAGTTGGTGTCCACAACAGCATACTGACCCATTGTTTCTTCCACCTATAAAAGCCCCTGCTTCCCCTGCTTCTTTGGCTCTTCCTTGCCTACCTGCCAACGGGCGAGCACGGGCTGCTCGCTCGCCTGGGGTGAAGGTCTCAGAGGATTTGCGTGGAGCGTTGAGAGACGAAGCCAATGAACGAGAGGAGCTGCGGTCCAAGACCCAGTGATGCGGTCCAGACCACGGTGGCTTCGCCCTGGCGACCGGGCAGGGTTGGGAGGTTGTGGCAAGGTTTACAGTTAATATGTCGTTGGTTTTTCAAGACAGCAGACAATGAACTCGCCAGTAAGGGTCATAGTGCTGGTTCCATGGTTCCATGCTAATTGTATTAGTTTTAATTCTACTGTAACTCTATTGAAATCTTGTTTCTAATGGCTTCGTGTTACTAGTAGTAAGGCCAGGAGCCCCTAGTAGCGTCCTTGTTCCTAGTAGCGATGCCCTTTGCTCCTAGTAGCGTCCTTGTTCGAACTCCTTCCATGGTTCCATGACTCGCTCCCCCCAAAAATTGGGTCCTCGAGCTTAGATGGAGGAGCTCAGGAGGCGGAGAACCGATTCTCCCTCCCTTTGCTGAGGAGCCGGCTGGAGCAGCATGTTTCTCACACGCGAGAGGCCAGGAAATGAGTTGTCAGGCTTCTTTTCAGTTCTTCCAGAATGCTTTGTTTTGTTTGAAAGTACTCAGGTTCTCAGTAAAATGATGTGATTTGCTTGGTTTGATCTTGTTTGCTCCTTGTTTTTGATCTTGTCTGGCTTCGCTGGGCAGAACCCCTAGCACTCACCTAAGCTGAACCATTATTGCATCTTCTCTCAGAGGCCTTGGATGAGATGAAGTTGCGCTTCGAGAAACGGGAGGCATGCAAAAGGATGCGGAGGGTTTGCGTGGTGATTGGCGTTTGACACCTTTTTGGGGTTTGTCTCAAAATGAGGAGAACCGTCGCAAACACTGATAAGCCCTCAAGTTAAAGGACCATGAAGGACCCTTTTTGGTTGCGGCAGCACGCAATTTTCGTGAAACCAAGTGAACACTGATCCCAAAGAGCTACAGTAGCTGACGAGGGAGTTGGATCAACTGCTGAAGAGGTCTCGCTGCTTCTTCGCTGTTGTTTTGCTCAGGCTGAACTAGCAGATCGCGTCAGGGAAGCGGAGGAGGTGTGGTGACGTGCGCGCCGAGCAGAACCTCCAAACCCATGTGAGTTCCCGAGACCACTGGTTTGCAGAGGAGCATCACCGAACGCATGGACATCACGGAGACTGGTCACAAAATTATCGTACTCGTATGTACATATGATACGGTAATATACGTGATGTTGCAAATATCCAATACTGTCAGCTCTAGCCCTGGCCGGTTTCAATTTACATTACCGAAGCTCACCTGCAACTGGCTACATCGATTGGTGCCTCTAATCCACGCATGCGTTGCATGATGTTGCATGTGTCGATTGACTTGACAAGGTCATGCTTAAACATTTGGTTTTAGGACCCCACCGATCCCATCGTTTGGGCGTCAGACCCCTTCTTTCAGCTCGCGTTGCTGCAGACCCGGTGCTGCAGACTTGATGTTCTACTTGTGCAACTTGCGTTTTTTGGCAAAACTGAACTTGATGAAACCGTCTCAGCTTCATTGCTTTCCTCCCGACTCCGGAGAAACCCGACGACTCTCCGAAGGCCCAGCGAGAGGAGCTGCGCAGTTCCAAGGCCAAGCAGCTCGGCATCGAAGAGGCCGGGAGACTCGGTCAGACCATCTGGGAGCAGGAGACTCGGTCTGACTTGGTTCGATAGATTCAATAGATGAAAGGATAAGATTCAACATGCAAGAGAGAAGGAGGAGAAGGTTGGTTGAGAGGAAGGAACGTGAATGAACAAGGTCTCTTCTCCCGCTTCCGACCTCCGCAAAGCCGACTTCCGTCGCCGCTTTTCCACCCCGTGTTGCGACCCGCCCGACACCCGAGTGACTCCGCCCGGGGCGCCGAGTGACTCGTCGGGAGCGCCGCAGGGCCTGGACGAGCTGCGCCGCGCGTTGGCGGCCGAGGGGAGCGAGCGCAGGAATGCCTTCGAGGGCATCGTCGCGAGGCCCCTCCATCGTCGTGGCGATCGGGGGTTGGTGATGCCCTTCAAAGGGGCATCTCGGGTGCCGACATTTGGGTGTGTGTGACAGGCATGTGTGGTGGCTGTAGGGAGCTGAACCTGATTGGTTTTCGAAGGTGAAACTTTCGCACTTGGGAAGCTACGAGCGGGGCTCCTGGCCTTACTACGAACGGAGCGATCGGACGCTACGAACGGGGCTCCTGGCATCGCTACTGGAGCAATCTTGCTTCTAGTAACAAGAAGCTACCAGGGGCTCCTGGCCACACTACTAGGAGCAAGAAGCTACTAGGAACCCGGGCATCGCTACTAGGAGCCAGGATGCTACTAGGAGCATTCTTACTACTAGCTGCTTCTAGTAACAACAAGTCATGTCCATGAGTCATCAGTCGTCGTTGGGAAGGCTGCAGCACCTGGAAGCATCGGTGGGTGATGAGGCGGCAGTAGCAGTAGCGAGAACAGCAGTGTGTTGCAGTGTGTTGGGCCAGGGCGGAGAAGTCAAGACAGTAAAGACATACATACATGTCGAAACAACTGGTTGTCAAACAACAATCCCATTCAAGCATCTTCCCCGTGTTCACCACTCAAAACATCTTTCATCTTTTTTTCAATCATTTGCTTTGCTTTGCGAACCGGTGGCCAAGCAATTCCATCCGTTTGGCCAGGGGGTGGCCCGCGAGGAGGAGCAGCGGCAGGTTCTGCGGGAGTTGAGCTCCGCGCTGGCAAAGCTGCAGGAGGAAAAGGCAGTACCCACCGTGGGCGTAGATGATGCGGCGGAGACACTGGGACAGCCAAAGCATGGTAAATTGTGGGACCGGTTGGTAAATGCATTTTTCGAAAGAAACACGAGATGAGCATGCATATGGCTAGGTCATTTGTGTGTTTTACTTTTCTTTTGGCAGGCCGATCGAGAAGAGGCGATCGCCAAAATCACTCAGAGCATGGCTGAACAGGCTCGATACCTTCTCGAAGCGCTCTGAACCCCACTTTGCAGCTTGTAACACAGAGAGGAGCGCTTTCGCTGAGGCAGCGCTTCTTGAGGACTCGCTGGACAAAGAGGCGAAAGCGCGGGAGGCTTCGGTGGCGCAGGCGCGCGGCGGCTTTTTTTTTTGTTGTTGCGCCGTAGCGAAGGCAAAGGTGGGTGATCTGACGCCCCATCAACCCCGGCAAAACCATTGGGTGGGTGCTAGTGCCAAGGGTGCATGTATATGTATTTAATTAAGAAAGAAAAACAGGAAAGAAAAGGAAGGCAAGGGCCTTGTTGAAGAGACCCTCACCTTCCTTTTTTTGCTCTCCTTGTTGCTACTTCTAACGCCACAGCGGTGCTTGGTTTTGATACCACCACCCACGTTGGCCACGTTGGCCATGTTGGCCACGTTGGCCACGGGCTCTGTCCAAGTACTTGGAGATCGATGACTTTTGAAGAGATCCTCAGGTTCGGGCTTTGGCTGGTTTCAACTTTGAGGGAAGGGAAGCTGCCCCCATGGTTTTGTATCTATATTTTCCAGCATCCAGCATGCCGCAAGGCTGCAAGTTGCTGTTGGATTACTCCCAAGCAACATCCCGCATCAGAGCGTCCGAAGGTGTCACAACCGTCCAAGTAGTCTCGGCAAACCTTTCTGTGCCAAAACAGGGTGGCAGTTGCCAATGACTTGTTTCCTTCTGCGGGTCGGTCGTGGTGTGTTTGTTTATCGAACTTGGACACTTCCGCTTGACTCTGCTGAGCAAGTCGGTTCAGGAATCTCATCTCTGCAGTGAAAATTGGGCAGTTTTAATGCTCGCCACGCCGATGAACCCTCGGTTTGGAGGAGGATCGAACTCTTTGTTTGAGACCCTGACGCAATTCTCTCCAAAGTTCCCATAAAAACGGACAAACACCTCAATCAAGCGGAAAACTGTCAGGCCGTAGTGCACCTGCAGAAGGACCTCAAGACTGAGGGGGCCACGCGTGAGGAGATGCTTCGCAGTACGGCCAGGGACTCATCCCGAAGGATCAGAGCATGTCACAAAGGTGAAAGGGATGGGTATGGCGACCAGACGAAGCAATTGTTGGTATGACGGTGACGATCAGTTTCCTTGTTGACCTTGTTGTCTGTGGGCTGAACGGATTGGATGGCAACACACACACACAGAGTTTCGCCACGAAATGGAAATTGAAGTGGGACTCAACGAATCCCTGCTCCTGATGTATGTGCGTGTTTGAGAGTATTGAAGCGCAACACAAAGTCACCACAAAGAGGGAGGACGTGATTACTGTTGAGAAGTCGAGGCCCCGGGGGCAAAACTTCGTTCAAAAACCATTTCCGACAAAGCCGTTGCCCAAGGCAACCAAACTCCAGCAGCTGTCAAGCGAGCTGCAGCAAGAGAGAGAAGACCGGTCGAGGCACAATGGTTGGTGAGCGATGGTGAGTGATTTTTGTTGATCTGAGCACGTGTTGAACCAGAGCAAGAGGAACACATCTTCTCAGCTCATACAAATCCATCAGAGTTCTTTAATTAACAATCTGACATTGATTCTTCATGATTCTTCCATATCTCAAAACCTTCTGAGACTTTGATGAGTGACCCATGAGGTTCTTGCGTGACGTGAACGCCTCGCTGGCCAAGCTGCAACGAATGCAGGCCCTTTTTCCGGCCTCGATTGGCCGGAAGGGTCTCCGAACCAAACATCGATTTTCGAGAAACTCGGTTTGTTGATGAACACCAAGTTTCCATTTTATACCCAGTGTAATAATACCTTCTGGTATTCCCAAGTGGGGCGAGGCATCCATGCTCATTCCGACCTGTGTTCGTCGACAGGCCGAGGCGGCTGAGGCGGACACCCGCGCCCAAGAGAACGATCGGCTGGTGGTTGCATTGGAACCGCAAGAGGCCATGACCGGGGAACTTTCATTGATTCCTGAATGCCAACCAGCGGGTATTCCGCCATGGCTGCCTTGGTCTTGGCTTTCTTCAACCTGGGCTGTATACCAGTCCTGAACTTCGCGCTTCGGCAAAAGCCAAGCTGCAGTGGCCATAGCATGCCATAGCCCCTTTTCAAGAAAGCAACTGAAAAACTGTTGGTTCTTTTGAGACAGACTTGTGGGCCGAGTTCCCGCTTCAAAAGAACCGGAGGTTATCTATTTTTTCGTTGTTCTTGACTATGAACGCTTGAACTGGAAATAGCTGGAACGATGATCACAATTTCTTTTTGCATTCTGGAGCCAGGCCTCGAACCCATCACATTGCATTGCATGGTCTAGCCATATGCATCATATCACATATCATTCACCCCTAACAGTAATTTTGACTAGTTCTTCAGGGCTGGCTATCTGCGTTTTTCATTTTTTTTCCTACTCCACCTGTGAGCAACGAGCAAAGCCGGATCAAGGCGACTCCCTCATCAGCTGCAACTGTCGATGCGTTCGAGGCAAGAACATTTTAGGACACACCTTGATGCTTGTGTGTATGAGGATGGTTGTATACATGTTGTTATTGAACTGCACTTATTGTACTTCAATCAAAATGCAGACATTCCCATCCGCAAAGATTGTGAAGCTGCAAGGTTGATACTGCTGCCGATGGCGTAGGGGCAGAGGGCCTCGGATACAGTCTAGAGTCTAGAGAACGCAGGCTCTGCTCTGCATCTGGCAAGATCAGCGTGGACAAGTCGCGTGCTGCAATTTTCAGTCGGAATACCGCCAAGGCTGAATTGGTCTCTTGCATTATTGGCAGCATCAGATCAAGGACAGTCTTGTAAGCTGTTCAAATCGCCTCCATAAAATGCAACAGATTCCGTTCATTTCCTAGATAGTAGCAGGGCCCGGGCCTAGGTTGTTTTTTGGCATGCGTGATGTTTCGCAGTTTGAGAGAACCCAAGTCAGGTGCAGTCACCATGTTCTTGCTCGAGTTGTTTGGTGCACCTGCCGCCTCAATTGCCAGGAGCAGCTCCCTGACACTTGAGGCTGCTGGAAATTCGGATATCTCAGTGCGCAGCATGATTACATATAGTTGTTGTATTTGTTGCTTGGATGGACACCAGTATACTTGTAGATTCTTGTAGATAAAGCAACCGCAAGGCTTTCAGAAGAAGAGCTTCATGCTTTGTATGCTCAGAACACAGCCGCTTCTTCCTGCCAAGACGAGGTGCTGGATGCTGGGGATGAGGTTGTGACGAAGCCGATACAGGACAGGGGAAACAGAAGGGATTGGGGGGTATCAAAGTGGTTGAGAGCTCCTGGTACAAGGCCTCATGGCCCAAATATTGTACATGATCCCCACAAGGATAAAAGATAGGGCATTTGACATGTTTCTTCCACAGGGATTGCTATTGTCAATTGTCGTTCAAGATTCTGGGCCCACTATCCGAAGAAAGTGTGCATCCAGGATCTAAGAACTCCTTTGGGCAATTCTGCTTGCTTCAGGACCTCGTTGCCATCGACGGTTGGCACCTCAAAACGCTTGTGACGCGTGGCTTGCCGGCTGGGCGCTTGGCTTTGCTGAGGTCCGGGACAGAGTCTCGATCCAGCCTCCCTGACAAGCGCCAGGTGCCCAGGAGATCCCACAAAATCTGCTTGACATTGATCTTTCCCCAATGCTTTGCATGCTTTTGGATCGATATTGATGAAAGGGGTTCAGTTGTGCTGAAGTATGAAAGCGGGATTTTGTGCAGGAATGTGTAAAGTAAGAGCTAGAATGAACAGATACGGCAGGGAAACAATGGCAGACAAGACATTGTTTATGGCTCATGCTGCTCAATCCGATTGCAATCATATGTTTAGGTCACTCCATCGGGTGATGCAACCATCAACGAGCCTCAGGACCCTCCAGAGGCATGCAACGTCTCAGAGCAGTTGCATTTACATTGTCAGATCTCTTGCAAACCAGATCAGTCTGAAAAGATTGTACCACTTGGCTTCTTTCAGGTTCCGGCTGATGGCAAGAACGCCAAAGATACTGTCCATCGTACTCAGAGATTTGCACTGCTGGGCATTGGAAGTGGTTGCTGGCGTTCTGAAAGTTCGGAGCAGTCCAGTTGCTGCTGGAGTGGATGTTTGATCCCAAGGCTGAGTTGATGTCCGTTGACACTGGATCAAGGACCGTGATTGCAGGGCAGTCTCCCCTTCGCTGGACACAGAAGAGCTCTTGTTTTTTCCTGCACATTTGCGCGGTTGCACCTAGGAGCAATCCCAAACCCCTTGAGAGCTCCTCGACACTTGAGGCCACTCGGAGAAGCTCCAAGCCAACACTTATTCAATTTCGTGCAGAAACAACCGTCTCAACTTCAAGGGCTAACTGAAGTGTTTGGAGCCCCAACCATTTTCAGACAAAGTTATTGAGCCAAAACGTATGAAACGGACTTTAGTGCATTTTTGAAGGCTTTAGAGTCTTTTGCTTCTCTTGTGGCACTCACCTTCAGGTGTTTGATGCCAGAGATGTGGCGGAGACAAAGGACATAATACCAGTACAGGCATGGAGCAAAGGAGGTGACAACGACGACGACTGCTGCTGCTGCTGCTGCTACTTGTACAACTCCTGCTACTGCTACTCCTACTACTACAACTCCTGTTGCTAATTCTTTTTGGAGGCTGTGACTGCAGGCCCCCCTATTTGTCAGAGCCATCACTCCTTCTAGTTGATAGTGCAAACACTTCCAACGAAGAGAGGGAGAGGATCCTTGTAGAACCCTCGCTGTATGACACGATTTCCAGATGTTGATGGGAGTTAAGCTTCGAGGATCACTGATGCTGTGTCTATAAACATCTGGCACTACTGCAAAGACTTGTGTCCCTAACTTGGTCCTGTTGCGCGGTGCTAGGCAGACTCTTCACCAGGCGGCAAGAGGGTGAGAGGACATGACTCTTGCGGAATCAATGCAACAAAACCTTGGGCTTTCAGCGGGGCAGCTCGTGAGCAGTAGCAACCCAGGAACCCTCAAATCGGCACAAACACGAATCTATGGCGTAGGAAGTTCAGCGTGCACAAACCTTTGTCAGGCTTGTGATACAAAGTTCTCAAACTTGAAGACTGCGGACTTGGCGGACTTGGCAGTTTTTGTATAAGCGACTAGAGTCCTTCTTGCTTGCCAATCGATTCTTATATTTAAGGGCTGCCGCCCCTGCCGCCGACCCCGGATTCTCAGGGGGCGACAGGCGAGTGAACCCCCAGTGCTTCCAAGCTTCTAAGGATGAACCCCCAGTGCGGGGTTCCCTTTTTGAGGCTCTATACATGAGATTTGGGCACGAGGGGCAGAGAACTGGGGCCTCCGAGCGCCGAAAAGGAAAACTCACGGCTCCAAACCATCCGGAAGCGCCGCGTGAAGCTGACTAGATCAGGGAAGACGAACAGGGTAACAGGGTGACCCGACAATTTGGTTCGTTTGGGGTGAACCAGGGATATTTTATGGATAAATTTAAAATCAACATTTGATATCCGGCTTTTCCTCGACTGGTTGGCATTGCGAGGGTTTTTCGAACAGGGGTTTCAGTCGTCTTTTGAAAGGTTGCTCTTCTGGAACCGTCGTTTCTTTCCGGTGTCGAGGTCGGTGCCCGTGCGGAGCGTTTCATTGCCTGCTCTCTGGATTGTGAGTTGACTCAGTTTACTCTCCTTTTCCACAGAAGACCGACTGAAACAAGTCACTAGCAACTCTGTAAAGATGGCCGACAGAAGACCGACAGGAGCCTACATAGTGAGCGCTGAGCGCATTAGTACGACTGGTTTCGAGAGTTTTCCAGGCGGTGCCTTCGTGGACATCGTACAACGTCTCACTTCAGATAACGTTGAGCCTCCGGGTAACACACGTAGTGTCCGTTGGACACGACGACAATCTTCAGGAATGCGCCATCTCAGAAACATAAACTTGGCCGAGGTCTATGGACACCGCCCAAATTTTAAGTCGTCAGAAGTATGGTGGCTTTCCCCCTATGAGTTCACTGTTAGCTGGTGTGTTGCCTTGGCATGTGTCCCCACGACACGACGAGAGTGGGAAACCGAAGACGAAATAAGCTGGGATGTAACTTTAACTAGACCGGGCTTGAAATATATCCAGCAACAATGCGATCCAGACAAAAGTCTCTGCCTGAAGCCAAGCATCCACTACAAGCTCAAAATAACCGCATCGAACGAACGGATTTTACTGGATGAAGGTACGGGCACGGAACATCTACAGCATCTGTGTTATATCTGCAACGACGGAAACGACCCATCTGTCCGCATTTCGAGAATTCCCCCGTCCCACAACATACAGTCGGTCAAGCTGAACAAAATGCCCGCCTGACCCTGACTTATTTTCGCGCTTGGACTCTAAACAATACGAACGCTTCTCAAAGTGTGCCCTTTGCCGGTCGACTAAAGCAAACGAACCAAACGTGGATGCAAGCACTGCAGTCATGGCTGACACTCTTGCCTTGCGAAGAGACCAAGCGTTACGTCGGCAATTTTTTGTCAGTGTACCGTGTCCGACCTTCGGGTGCAGACACGGCCAACAGCGACGACAGCGGCGTCGACGAGCCTCTTCTTGTAACCTCAGCAACTCTGCCCGCAGCTCTGACAACAGCGTTTCGACAGACAGGAAACAAAAAGACACTAAGACGGGTGCCAAGCTTGATGACGCAGCTCTGGCCAGTTACAAAGCTGCAGTTGCACAAGCTGATGCAGTCTGGCAGCAAACATCTCGCACAGCAACAACGAGAAAGCCCAACCCATACGAAACACGAGATTCGAAAGAAATCCAAAAAGCCATCAAATTCGCCAAAGCAAAAGGAAAGAATAAAAAAACAACTGGCACCAGCACGTCGGAACCAGTGGCCGGCATATGGCAGAGCGAGGCGCACGAGATAGTCGGAAAGGTCAGCCTATTCCTGACAAATGTTCGACAAAAACGTATGTGCAACAACGAACAGCTAGAGTTCCTTGAAAAGGTGTGCGAGCGAATTCAAGCAGAAGCCATGTCTGGCCAAGATCGGGGAGGCGCTGCCGAAACAAACACACAGCCATTCAGATGGGCTTTGCACGGTGGCCCTGGCACTGGCAAATCCTATGCGTTGAACCTTCTTCGCAAGGAATTGTTCGAAGAACGTCTGGGCTGGCAACAGGGAAGCGAATTCCAAATCGTTACTTTCCAAGCGGTCAACGCCGAACCTTTGGATGGAGACACCATCCATTCGGCCCTTGGTTTAGCGTGGCACGGAAATGATTCCAACGTGAATGCGCAACGCATCCTCGATTTAGCAGGCAACGCTATCCGTTGGCGTTGGCTGTTGATAGACGAAATCAGTATGGTCAGCGCGGAAATGCTCGCCCGTTTAGAGGCACGGTGTCGACAACTTGCGCAGGATTTTTTTCTACTAAGTATGCAAAACCGAACAGCACTCCAGTTGCGCCATTCGGAGGCCTCAACGTTATCTTGTCAGGCGATATGTGACAGTTGCCACCGCCGCGAGGCACCTTTCTCGGTCAAATTCCTTGGCAACTTCTCACCCGCGTTCACTCGAAGAAGTTACCATTAACTTTACAGGGCCAACAACTGGTGTGGGCCTCTGCAGAAGAAGGTGGCCTGCAAGGTGTCACCGAACTTGTGCAGTGCGAACGCACACAAGATAAATGGCTACAAGAACTCCAATTGAGTTCTGCTCCAAACGAGCCCCAATTCCTCGGACGTTCGATGTCAAACGGACGCTCTGGATCCCTAGAAAAAAGACAATTTACTAGCATTTTCCACCAC